TACATGGCTAACATTTACTTATTAGGCACATAGCAAAAAACTGATTTTTTTTTGCTACATTTGCTACCTTAATATTGAAAACAGTTTCTGGAGCATAACTTAAGTTCTATTTGACCCACAATATTCAAACTTCATAGAATGATTGTCCATATATGGTAGGAGACCCCTATTGATATTCGGGTCACAAGGTCAAAGGTCAAGGTCACTATTACCTTAAAAAAAAAAAACAGTTTCCGAAGCATAACTTAAGATCCATTCTGCCCACAATATTCAAACTTTATAGGATGATTGTCCATATTGGGCAAAAGACCCCTATTGATTTTGGGGCCACTAGGTCAAAGGTCAAGGTCACAATTACCTTAAAACCAAAAACAGTTTCGGGAGCATAACTTAAGTTCCATTTTGCCCACTATATTCAAACTTCATAGGTAGATTGTCCATATTGGGTAGAAGACCCCTATTGATTTTGGGGTCACAAGGTCAAAGTCACTTTTACCTTAATACTGAAAATAGTTGCTAGAGCATAACTTAAGTTGAACCATTTGGCCCACATTATTCAAACTTCATAGTATGATTGTGCATATTGGAGAGAAGACCCCTATTGATTTTGGGTCACAAGGTCAAAGGTTAAGGTCATTTGTAACTTAAATATTAATCAACCTTCAGCTGTAAAATTTTATAGGATGAACAACTAATTCCCATGTCTTACAAATGCTTCATCCTTACTAAAAAAAAACACTTTCGGGCATATAATGCTCTGCCTTGCGGTGCTCTTGTTTAAATTTTGCTTCTCTTTTTATGACAAATAATTTCACATTAAGCGCTACTTTCTTCATGTTAGAAGCATTTAACATGCTCTGAAACCATTATTTAAATGTTTTAAAACTCGATCTCGATGATGTTTCTACTTTTTAAAGAAGAAATAATTTATTTATTTCTGGGGCATAATGTGCCCTTATTCTTGACAGAAAAAAACGTGGTTATAACAAGCGACGTCCTGTGATTTATCTATGATAATATTATGTCATTTTTTTATGTTATTTTTGTATGGATATGTTTATAAAGACGTTGACAATGTTCAACACAAAATTACTTTAGGTATTTAAAATGTGTTTTAACGTGAAGAGATATACAAAAGCAAACAAACACATAAATGAAAAATGAAACTCAATATAAAGTTGATCTGTTCCTAGGAACAAAAGCTGCTTGCTCCATGGGCGCCGCATCCGTGGCCTAGTTGGCGATGAAGCCAACAAATGGAGTGGCGTTGCAGGTCTCCACAATTGTTTTGACATACAGAAATCAACTTGTTCTGGATGTAGGGCGAAGTATATTACCATGATCAAGGTGGTCCTATGCTTCATATAGTTCTTTATGGATTAATACTCTTCATATTTAATTTTTGGAACTTATTGCCTAAATACTTCGAAGATCTATATTTATATTGGAATCAATAATATAATTAGAGGTAACAAATTTTGGAATCATGCCTCTAAACCCTCCAACACCACCCTCGCCAATACCCTTTAGTTTTCTCACTGTTTCTAGTATATTTGAATTTTCGGTTTCCTGGATCAATGTTACGCACATGCGTAGGTGAGTAACGCTAGCTACGTCCCTGTAATAGGTGTAACATAGTTGATACATGCATATTAATTGGTACCTTTTAGTGCATTTACTTGTCTATAAAGCTGCTATTTAAATGAAATTAGCAACTGCCAAAATGAATGACTCTTTCTGCGAAAAAAAGTGAAAAGTGAAATGTACCCACTTGTTTCCTTTCAGTATGATAGATAGATACTTTTATTTCCTCCACGTGGGAGAGCCAAAGTTATTTATTTTTACGATTGATTATTTTCTTTATTAGTTTTATACAATAGAGAATAGATTTCAAGTCTTTTTTGACAAAAAAATATTCGTTTTTTACAAAAAAAAGTTGTTACTGTTATCATCAGCATGTTCCGGTTTAGTTATAATCAGTGAACTTCTGGTCCTTCTTTTGTCCAAATTTGCATGCCACTGGTGGCACAAATGGGCAAAGGTGCTCGTCAAGTCTTGAAACTCTTTTTTTGCAAACAAAATCCTAAATAAACCCTTTATGATATACAAATAATTAATAAAAATAGTGATAATAAATTGACCCTCTATACCTGTTAAAACATAGGTACCTTGTTTTTTTACTGGTATATAAGGTCAAGTCATTATTTTTTATATACAATGTAATTATTTCTTTATCATAAAGAGTTGATTTAGGAAGTTTTTCAAAAAAAAAAAAAACATTTTTAAAGGGATTGGATGATGGCACAGCTGGGCAAGCCTTTTCTTTTAAAAGGAAACTTTATTTTTGTGCCCCCACTTTAGTGGCGGGCATTTAGATTTACCCTTGTTCGTCCGTCGATACTTCCATCCGTTCGTCCTTCCGTCTGGATATTTTTAGTATTTTTAGAGTTATTGCCCTTGACTTAGTAAAATTTTGCAATTTTCAACTTGTGTCGCATGTAACTCAAAAAGTATTTGACCTTAGGAGTCATAAAACTTCACAGGAATGTTGATCAGCATGTGTAGTTGTGCACCTGGGTATTTTCGTATGGATTTATACAGTATTTGTAGAGTTATTTCCTTTCACTTAGTAAAATTTTGCAATTTTCAACTTGTGTCTCATGTAACTCAAAAAGGATTTGACATAGAGTCATGAAACTTAACAGGAATATTGATCAACATGTGTAGTTGTGCACCTGGGTATTTTTGTCTGGATTTATCCAGTATTTTTAGAGTTATTGCCCTTGACTTAGAAAATTTTTGCAATTTTCAACTTGTGTCCCATGTAACTTAAAAAGGATTTGACATAGAGTCATTAACCTTACGTGAAGGTTGCTCAGCATATTTAGTTTTGCACCTGGGGTTTGGCTTGTGGATTTATCCAGTATATTTAGAGTTATTTCCCTTGACTTAGTAATGTTATTATGTTGTTATTTGTTCCTTGTGTGCTTGAGTTAGAATCAACCAACTTTACAGGAATAATGATCAACATCACTAAATTACAGGAAAAATGTTTCACATCACTGTGAAGCTATACACCTGGGACTTTGCATGTGGATTTATTTCGGTTTTGTTAGAGTTATTGCCCTTGACTTACAGTAGTATAAATTTGCAATTTTCAACTTGTTCATGCATAGCTCAAAAAGTATTTCACTTGTAGGCCTGAAAGTTTACAAGAATGTTGGTAAGCATGTGTACTTATGCATCTTGGGGTTTGCTTGTGGATTTATTCAGTATTTGTAAAGTTCTTGCCCTTTACTTAGTAAAAGATTTTTAGTTTTCAAAAAATATTTGACCTAGAGTCATAAGATTGACAGAACAGTGGCGCTTTGGGGGCACCCGTGTCCTATGGACACATTTCTAGTTTAATATAACTTCTCTATTTCTCAAAGGATTATTACAAACATCATAATATTAAAATTAAATAATATGACAAGGTTTATTGTCCCCCGCCTTTTCGAAGAAAAAAGGGGGATATAGAAATAGGCATGGTCCGTCCATCTGTCCATCCGTCTGTCTGTCTGCACTCACAGGACAGTAATTATGTGGCTAGAGGGACAAGAGGTAACTGTTCTTTCTCTTTGCTGTCATTCATTCCTTAATGCTTTTATATGGCTATTTTCTTTTGTGTGGCTAAAAAGAACAATAGAGAAGCCACATTATTACTCTCCTGTTAGAACTTCCGTCCGTCTGTCCGTCACACTTTCGTGTCTGGTCCATAACTTTGTCATTTATCAAAGGAATTTGAAATAACTTGGCACAAATGTTTGTTATAATAATATGATGTGTCATGGGCAACAGCGAGACCCCTACCTCCAGGGTCAAGGTCGCACTTGCTCATTCAAGGTCACCATTGTCTATTTGAGGGTATATGTCGTGTCCAGTCCATAACTTTCTTATCTTAGAAGGGATTTGTAAATACTTGCCACAATTGTTCACAATAATGAGACAATGTGTCATGGGCAACAACCGGTCACCTACCTCAAGGGTCAAGGTTACACTTGGAGGTCAAAGATTTACATAGTCTGTTGTAAGGTATATTTTGTGTCCGGTCCATAACTTTTTCATAGATCAAAGGATTTTGAAAATACTTGGAACAAATAGTCACAATCATAAGACGATGTGTCATGCGAAACATCTGCATTCCTACCTCCAAGGTCAAGGTCTTTCTTAGAGGTCAAAAATTAACATAGTCTATTAAAGGGTTTATTTTGTGTCCGATCTAGAACTTCTTCATAGTTCAAGGGATTTTGAAATAACTTGGCACAATAGTCACAATAATAAGACGATATGTCAAGTACAACACCTGCACCATTACCTCCAAGGTCAAGGTCACACTTAGAGGTCAAAGGTTAACAGAGTCTGTTATAATTATGTTTATTTTGTGTCTGGTCCATAACTTCTTCATAGATCAAGGGCTTTTGAAAATACTTGGCACAAAATGTCACAAAAATAAGACGATGTGTCATGCACAACATCTGCATTCCTACCTCCAAGGTCAAGGTCTCTCTTAGAGGTCAAAAATTAACATAGTCTTTTAAAGGGTATATTTTGCGTCGGATCTAGAACTTCTTCATAGTTCAAGGGATATAACTTGGCACAAATAGTCGCACAATGACTCAATGATATGTCAAGTACAACACCTGCACCCCTACCTCCAAGGTCAAGATCTCACTTAGAGTTCAAAGGTTAACAGAGTCTGTTATATATATGAGCCGTGTCACGACAAAACCAACATAGTGGGTTTGCGACCCGCATGGATCCAGACCAGCCTGCGCCTCCGCGCAGTCTGGTCAGGATCCATGCTGTTCGCTATCAGTTTCTTTAATTGTAATAGAGTTGATAAGCGAACAGCATGGATCCTGATCAGAATGCGCGGATGCGCAGACTGGTCTGGATCCATGCTGGTCGCAAACCCACTATGTTGGTTTTGTCATGACGCGGCTCATATGTTTATTGTGTCTGGTCCATAACTTCTTCATAGATCAAGAAATTTGAAAGTATTTGGCACAAAAAGTCACAATAATAAGATGATATGTCATGCTCAACACCTGTGTCCCTACCTCCAAGGTCAAGGTCACACTTAGAGGTCAAAGACTACATAGTCTGTTATAGGGTATATTTTGTGTCTAGTCCATAACTTCTTCATAGATCAAAGGATTTTAAAAATACTTTGCACAAATAACTACAATAATAAGACAATATATCAGGCACAAAACATGGGTTCCTACCTCCAAGGTCACACTTAGAGGTCAAAGATTAACATCATCTGTTATATGGTATATTTTGTGTCTCATCTACAACTTCTTCATAGTTCAAGGGATTTAAAGTTCACAAATAGTAACAATAATAAGACGATATGTCATGCAAAACACTTACACCCCTACCTCCAAGGTCAAGGTCACACTTAGCGGTCAAAGTCAAACATGATAGATTTTTAAATTCCGTGTTTCATTTTATTTCTTTAATAAATTTATTGTAGCATTTTGCACTGAAAGTCCCAGGTAAATCAATACCTCAGTCTTTTGAAATAGCACAATTTTATGCTTCATATAAAACTTCCCTGAGGTGGGGGACGTTGGAAACTCTGTTACAAATTCTTGTAAATCTAGCATCCATATTTCCAGAATGTCATCTCCCCCTTAAACTTCAAATTTTCTTTATTTATTCGATAACTTTTCATATTTCTTCAAATTTCAAATACATGTTCATTATCAACACCTACATCATAATTTTATGTGAGATTTATAAGTCTAGGGCTTTGGGGTTTCCATATTTTTTTCATTTTGAACTTGGAATTTATTTGAAAATTGTTATATATTTTTTAAGTTGTCTTCTTTGTTACTATAAATGGTATCTAAAATAGAGAAGGTTCATAAGTATAGCAATTTTATTTCAAGAGTTATCTCCTCTTTAGTTTAAGTATTTTGCTTTTAAAAATGTTATTTTCTGGTTACAGCCAGGAAGGTTCCAAACAGATTTACTTCAAATAGAGAAAAGTTGAAACATTTGTTATATATATTCATCCTGAGAAAATTTGATCTTTTGATTATCTGTTGTATAAACATAATTTTCTTACTAGGCAGGGATACTTAACATATTACCATGATACAGACAAAGAACTCAAAAGTTCATTCATGTCTTCCACAATGGCATAATTGAGTGGCCATGACCTTCAGAATGTTGCTGACATACTTTTTATTTCTAACCAGTAGGGGACTTTTGTATTGCTTGCAATATTTTGATAATTGCTTGTTTTATACTTGGAAATAATAAAGGTATAATAATTTACTATTACATATTCAAATTCACAATCCCTAGAGTCATAAGATCATCTTCCCAAACCCTGCATTAATAATAGTAGTGTTTTATGCTCTTTTTTTAAAGTACAGTAAAATTAGAGAAATTCAACCTTGCAGCAACAGAACAAAAAAAGTTGAAAGACATAAACATGTGGAGTTCACCAAAGAACAAAAAAAATAACACAATTGGTTTTTTCCCAAATGAAGAGAATCTATTAGATACAAAGAGATCTAAGTCTGATGGTAGGCAAGATAAAGATACCAGTAGAAGTGAAGATAACCGTACGTTAACTGGTAAGATTTTAGATAATTTTATGTACCAGAGAATGAAAATCTAAGAAACATACCAGCTGGGTCAGGTTGACACATATATCATTAAAATAAACTTCTAATTTACTTTAAAGAGAGAAAAGTTTAGTGTCTATTTACCTTAAATATGAATTCATGTTACTTAAATTAACTATAATGAACCCATTCCTGATGCAAGTTCTCCCACTTTGGAGACAAGCATTGTGGATTTTAATAAAATATATCAGCAGTCAGTATAAGATGGTTCAGGGAAACAAGTTGATAAAATATAAGATATATATTGCTCTCAATGTGAAATGATTAAAAAGATATCATTTACAAAGTAAATTTGGTATTATCATGAATAAGGAATATACAAAACTGTTCTCTGCATTTCTTAAAAAAATCCAAATTTTTGTGCATTTTCATTCAATTTCTCTAGATATATATATTATGTAGAAGAAAAAAAACCAGTTTTATTCAAAATAGAAGCAATTACCCACAATAAAATGTGACATATTACATACTGATATTATATTTTAGTTCTGTTTGGTCGACTTGTGCAGTCTGTAGACAGGAACACTGAGGTGATGCATTGCGTCATGCAAACAATGGATGTTTTATCTAGGTCTACCAACAAAACAACACTTCCAGATGATACAGATTTCATTATACCTGATGCTAAAAGATCTGATAAGGCTAGTTATAACTTATAATTGTGATACTAATCTACAAGAGCTACCTGTAGTTTTACTTCCGCAGTATAACAATACATTAATCAAGAAAAATCTAAATGTTGTACATATATGCTACTTCATTTTTTAGCTCATCTGAGCACACGGCACAAAGTGCTTTCGTGTAAGTTTTTGTGATTGCAGTTTGTCTGTTGTTCATATATTATCACCATGTGGTACTCTAAACTTACTTTGTCCTGCACCAAACATAGTTATTGGGGTGGGGGGGGGCTATATAGGAATCACTTTGTCCCGTCCTGTCTCGTCTCATCTCAGGAACTGGTAGAGATACAGTCCAACCCCGTTTATTCAAAGTGCCTTGGACTGTATATTTACTTCAATTAATCGATGGGTTTGAATAATCGAAATCGGAATTTTATGATAGACGAAAACTACTCCACTTTGACCAATCATAGCAAAACTACCATTTACAACACACTTACTTCCTGCAATCAACTGAGAAAAATAAATATTAAAGATAAGATGCGTAAAAAATATTTTATTGGCATCGAAGACATAAAGACTTGCATATTATTCTACAATATTATACCTCATTTGCATACGCCCTTCTATATTAAATATGACGTCATCCGGTCCATAAACCGCATACAGACCGGGGGCGGTCCATAATTCATATATGGACTGGATGACGTCATATTAAATGTTAAAGTTCGGGAGTTATTTTTGCTTGACAAAAATTGAATAACAAAAGAAGAGCATGATTTGTTTCCTGTATCGCTTGAAAATAATAATAAACCCGGCTAAGGTTTGAGATATTTCACACACTGAACACATAAATTATTATTTGAAAGCAAATTATAGTAAAAATGTCAGCAACAAAAGGGATGAAAGGATTTTGATTCGGTATAATATAACAAATAAAACATGGCCTTTCGGGCATATACCTTTCTCAGTCTGACCAATCAGTTCGTAAACTTGCATATTGCCCTCTAGGCCATGTATTATTTATTAATTATGTATTGTTTCGTTTCGCGCAAAGCCTTAAAAATGGCTGTGTTGTCACTACGGTATTTACAGCTAAACTCTGGTATTTTCAATTGTAGCGTTACAATTAATGAAAAAAAATGTTTTTGATGTTTTGACAAATTCACATATACTGTATGTATGAAAATTATTGCTGTCATCCTCAACAGTAACAAAATTGGACACAGTGCACTAAGCTTTTCATTTTCGGTAATTTAAGTTGATTAAAGAACACACAAAGAGTAATTATCATGATTGTCTAAATACACGCATGACTGTTGATATTTTTTCACAAGTCGACCGGTCAGCGAATGGATCTGCGCTAATTAGTCTGGCTTCAAATAATAATTAGTCTGGCTTCGAATAATAGGTGTGAAATTCTTTCATAATTGTATAATTGAGACTTTTTTTTTTTTTTTTTTTTAAAGTAGAGGTATTGTTATAGTCGGGTCGGCGTTGCCGTTGCCGATGCCGTCCGCAAACTTGTACCTGGATCATAACTTTTTTATTTCTTGGTGTATTGTCTTCATACTTGGCCACAACAACCCTTGGGACAAGACCTTCCAGTAGACCACACTAACCTTGACCTTCATTCATAAATGACCTTGACCTTCAAGGTTAAAAGTCCAATTTTTGCTTGTTCATGCTGTTATGGCTGAAACTTTGTTATTTTTGAATGGATTGTCTTCAAACTTGAACATAATAATCCTCAAGGATATCCCTTAAAAATAACCAGCCAGACTTTGACTTTCACTCATAAATGACCTTGACTTTGAAGGTCAAATTATTGAAATATTCATTTTTTTGGCTATTATTGGCTGTAACTTTGTTATTTTTGAATGGATTGTCTTGAAACTTGAACATAATAATCTTCAAAGATAACTGTTAAAAAATATACCGAAAGACCTTGACCTTCACTCATTAATGACATTGTCTTTGAAGGTCAAATTATTGAAATTTTCATTGTTTTGGCGGTAACTGACTGTAACTTTGCTATTATTGAAGGGATCAACTTCATATTATAACAGAACATTCTTAAGGACCAGACCTTGTTGTTTATCAAACCCAAATTTGCTTGGGCTCTTTAATGACCTTGACCTTGAAGGTTAAATTACTGAATTTTCTCAGATTTGTGCATTAAATGACCATAATTATATATTTATTGGTGTGTGTGTGTGTATATATATATATATATCCATATCTATCATCATCATCATCATCATCATCATCATCATCATCATCAACAACAACAACAACAGTTTTTCTATTTATAGAATTGCGTAATGTTTCTATTTATAGAATTGCGTAATGTTTCTATTTATGGAAATTGCGTAATGTTTCTATTTTTTTTTTTTTTTTAAAGTAGAGGTATTGTTATAGTCGGGTCGGCGTTGCCGATGCCGTTGCTGTCCGCAAACTTGTACCTGGATCATAACTTTTTTATTTCTTGGTGTATTGTCTTCATACTTGGCCACAACAACTCTTGGGACAAGACCTTCCAGTAGACCACACTAACCTTGACCTTCATCCATAAATGACCTTGACCTTCAAGGTTAAAAGCCCAATTTTTGCTTGTTCATGCTGTTATTGGCTGTAACTTTGTTATTTTTGAATGGATTGTCTTCAAACTTGAACATAATATTTTTCAAGGATATCCCTTAAAAATAACCAGCCAGACTTTGACTTTCACTCATAAATGACCTTGACTTTGAAGGTCAAATTATTGAAATTTTCATTTTTTTGGCTATTATTGGCTGTAACTTTGTTATTTTTGAATGGATTATCTTCAAACTTGACATAATTATCTTCAGGGATATCCCTTAAAAATAACTAGACAGACCTTGACATTCTCTAATAAATGACCTTGACTTTGAAGGTCAAATTATTGAAATATTCATTTTTTTGGCTATTATTGGCTGTAACTTTGTTATTTTTGAATGGATTGTCTTGAAACTTGAACATAATAATCTTCAAAGATAACTGTTAAAAAATATACCGAAAGACCTTGACCTTCACTCATTAATGACATTGTCTTTGAAGGTCAAATTATTGAAATTTTCATTGTTTTGGCGGTAACTGACTGTAACTTTGCTATTATTGAAGGGATCAACTTCATATTATAACAGAACATTCTTAAGGACCAGACCTTGTTGTTTATCAAACCCAAATTTGCTTGGGCTCTTTAATGACCTTGACCTTGAAGGTTAAATTACTGAATTTTCTCAGATTTGTGCATTAAATGACCATAATTATATATTTATTGGTTTGTGTGTGTGTGTGTGTATATATATATATATATATATATACATATACATATCTATCATCATCATCATCATCATCATCATCATCATCAACAACAACAACAACAGTTTTTCTATTTATAGAATTGCGTAATGTTTCTATTTATAGAATTGCGTAATGTTTCTTTTTATGGAAATTGCGTAATGTTTCTATTTTTTTTTTTTTTTTAAAAAGTAGAGGTATTGTTATAGTCGGTTCGGCGTTGCCGATGCCGTTGCCGTCCGCAAACTTGTACCTGGATCATAACTTTTTTATTTCTTGGTGTATTGTCTTCATACTTGGCCACAACAACTCTTGGGACAAGACCTTCCAGTAGACCACACTAACCTTGACCTTCATCCATAAATGACCTTGACCTTCAAGGTTAAAAGTCCAATTTTTGCTTGTTCATGCTGTTATTGGCTGTAACTTTGTTATTTTTGAATGGATTGTCTTCAAACTTGAACATAATAATTTTCAAGGATATCCCTTAAAAATAACCAGCCAGACTTTGACTTTCACTCATAAATGACCTTGACTTTGAAGGTCAAATTATTGAAATTTTCATTTTTTTGGCTATTATTGGCTGTAACTTTGTTATTTTGAATGGATTATCTTCAAACTTGAACATAATTATCTTCAGGGATATCCCTTAAAAATAACTAGACAGACCTTGACATTCTCTAATAAATGACCTTGACTTTGAAGGTCAAATTATTGAAATATTCATTTTTTTGGCTATTATTGGCTGTAACTTTGTTATTTTGAATGGATTGTCTTGAAACTTGAACATAATAATCTTCAAAGATAACTGTTAAAAAATATACCGAAAGACCTTGACCTTCACTCATTAATGACATTGTCTTTGAAGGTCAAATTATTGAAATTTTCATTGTTTTGGCGGTAACTGACTGTAACTTTGCTATTATTGAAGGGATCAACTTCATATTATAACAGAACATTCTTAAGGACCAGACCTTGTTGTTTATCAAACCCAAATTTGCTTGGGCTCTTTAATGACCTTGACCTTGAAGGTTAAATTACTGAATTTTCTCAGATTTGTGCATTAAATGACCATAATTATATATTTATTGGTGTGTGTGTGTATATATATATACATATATATCATCATCATCATCATCATCATCATCACATCAACAACAACAACAACAACAGTTTTTCTATTTATAGAATTGCGTAATGTTTCTATTTATAGAATTGCGTAATGTTTCTATTTATGGAAATTGCGTAATGTTTCTATTTATGGAAATTGCGTAATGTTTCTATTTATGGAAATTGCGTAATGTTTCTATTTATAGAAATTGCCTAATGTTTCCATTTTTAGAAATTGCCTAATGTTTCTATTTTTAGAAATTGCCTAATGTTTCTATTTTTAGAAATTGCCTTTCTATTTTTAGAAATTGTGTAATGTTTCTATTTTTAGAAATTGCGTAATGTTTCTATTTTAAGAAATTGCGTAATGTTTCTATTTTAAGTAATTGTGTAATGTTTCTATTTTTAGAAATTGCGTAATGTTTCTATTTTTAAAAATTGCATGTTTCTATTTATGGAAATTGCATGTTTCTATTTCTGGAAATTGCGTAATGTTTCTATTTATGGAAATTGCGTAATGTTTCTATTTTTAGAAATTGCGTAATGTTTCTATTTTTAGAAATTGCGTAATGTTTCTATTTTTAGTAATTGCGTAATGTTTCTATTTTTAGAAATTGCGTAATGTTTCTATTTTTAGAAGTTGTGTAATGTTTCTATTTTTAGAATTTCTATTTTTAGAAATTGCATTTCTATTTTTAGAAATTGTGTAATGTTTCTATTTTTAGAAATTGCGTAATGTTTCTATTTTTAGAATTTCTATTTTTAGAAATTGCGTAATGTTTCTATTTTTAGAAATTGCATTTCTATTTTTGTAAAATTAAGTAATAAGTAATGTTTCTATTTTTAGAAATTGCGTAATGTTTCTATTTTTAGAAATTGTGTGTTTCTATTTATAGAATTGCGTGGTTCTATTCATATATATATATATACAAAAATTTTTTAAATAGATAAACAAAAATAATGTGACAAGACAGACCAACTAAATTTATAAAAAAGAAACGTTAAGATATGTCCAAACCTTTCTTATTGTTTGCGTTTAGAAAAAGTAAAAAGTTGAGCGTTGCCCCCGCCCGGCGGTGGCTCTTGTTCATCTTAGTGATAACATTTAGATATTAATCAGTAACAAATGTTTAATTTTACTGAGAACATATCAAGCTTATTGTGAGAGGAATACTACATGATGTCAATATGGGCGCCATCATTTTGAAGTGGATGTCACTTTAGGTTACAACGTTACAACTATATAATTTTAACATTTATAGAATTACTTGAGTGAAATTTCTTGCAGAAAATAATTTCCAATTCAATTCTTTATTTGAAAATATATTTCAAGTCATTATCACAAATAAAACAGAATGCAAAATATTTTTCATGTTGATGTGCAATTTTAGCGGATGTTGATTTTTTAAATACTGTTAAGCTTAATTCTTCTGTCTGTTCGTCAGTTCTTTTTTGTGTCGCACATAACTCAAAAAGTATTTGACATAGAGCCATGAAACTTTACAGGAATGTTGACCAGCATGTGTAGTTGTGCACCTGAGTATTTTCTTGTGGATTTATTTAGTATTTTTAGAGTTATTGCCCTTGACTTAGTAAATTTTGCAATTTTCAACTTGTGTCTCATGTAACTCAAAAAGGATTTGACATAGAGTCATGAAACCTTACAGGAATGTTGCTCAGTATATGTAGTTGTGCACCTGGTGTTTCGCTTAAGAATTTATCCAGTTTTTGTAGAGTTATTGCACTTGACTTATTAGAAACCATTTCATTATGTTGTGTTGTTTGTTTCTTGAGTGCTTGAGTTAGAATCAACCAACTTTACAGGAATAATGATCAACATCACTGTGAAGCTATGCACCTGGGACTTTGCATGTGGATTTTTTTCAGTTTGTTAGAGTTATTGCCCTTGACTTACAGTAGTATAAATTTTGCAATTTTCAAATAGTTCATGCATAGCTCAAAAAGTATTTATCTTGTAGGCCTGAAAGTTTACAAGAATGTTGGTCAGCATGTGTACTTATGCACCTTGGGGTTTGCTTGTGGATTTATTAAGTATTTGTAAACTCTTTCCCTTTAATTAGTAAAAGTTTTTTAGTTTCAACTTGTGGCACATGTAGTCCAAAAAATATTTGACCTAGAGTCAAAAGATTGACATAACAGAGGAGTGTGGGGGCACCTGTGTCCTATGGACACATTTCTAGTTTTTATTTGTTTGGGTCGTCAGACCAAACAAATAATGGTAGCGAAATTTCAGACTCTTATTCTGTTAATTGCAAATGCCAAAAGTAGTCCGCTTTTTTGAAGCGGTTACTTCCCTTTATATGTAACACTAAGGCCGAAAAATTCAGGGGAGATCACTGTGTAAATATGGTCACATGACAGACGCATTAATTTTCAAGCAAAATAATCTTCGAATGGTCGAATATTTCTAATATTGTTTTATTCTTTATAGATATACATGCTTATAGTAAGCGCCATGATTATTTACACAAGTGTTAAACAACAGTTAGCGTCGTTACAAACCCTAATTTAGAATAATATGGTTTTCTTGAGACCGTAAACACATAAATTCACCTTGGCCGAGGGGTTAGCGCTCGCTTAGGAAGCGAGAGGTCTGGAGTTCAAATTCCAGTTAAGGCAACTCATTTTTTTTTTTTCAAATTGTTTAAGTCAAATAAACATTGGATTGAATATCAGTGTTGCAATTAGTCTTATAGCCAATTTGCACGCTGGAAAGAATTGCTGGCACTATACAAAAACAAATTTTATAATCTCACAACCTTCAACTTTCTGATATTCTGAGACCCAAACAAATTCAGCGCCTTCTGTGCTTTGATTTGCTGTAACTGATTAGTAAATTTGTTTCTTATAAATAGAGCTGTCATCGATATCGACAATATCGATGTATCGTTGATATTTTTTTGTCGATCAATAATCGATACACATTTTAAAAAATCGATACTTTTGACTTATAAATTAAATGTCTAGAAATTATACAATTCACCCAAAATATATGCAGAAACAATTATTTATATCAAATGTGATGCTTTTGTTATATAGTGGAATTATTTCATAGCAATGGTGACAAATAATATTGTCTAGAAAAAATCATGCAGTGGACAAGACACTGTACAGAACATGTTTTTGACTGAAATCATTGAAACAGGTATGAAAATGAATGACAGACAAGTGAGTATAGGATATTATCGATATATCGGTGTATCGTTGATTTTAGTTACTTGATATGGATATATCGTTGATATGCTTTGCACTGAATCAATGACAGCTCTACTTATAAATGGATTGCCTTAAGACACAGTAATGATATCCTTTAGGAAAAGACCTTTCTGAAAATCAAACTAGCTTTGACCTTGACTTTTAAGTGACCTTGAAGGTGTAATTATTGAATTTTCACTTTTAAATTTTCAGATTTTTGGTAAAACTTTGTTATTAGTATACAATATGGAAATTATTAGTATCAACTTGAATAAACATGGCATATCAGTGCAATATTTCAATGCATCTGTGTGTGTGTGTCAAGATTGTTAACTCTCACAGTTTAAGTTTGACATAATTGTACGTCTTTTCTAACTTAAAAGATCTCTAAAAATGTACCTAAGTGGCTATAGCTTACTTACTTATGAATAAATTGTCCTCATACTGTGACACAACAATCCTTGAGGATAGACCACTTACATTGATCTTGAGTGATAAATGACTTTGACATTCAAGGTCAAGTGACTGATTTTTTTTTTGCCGTAACTGTCTATAAATTTTTTTTTTGCCGTAACTGTCTATAACGTTATTATTATACATCCTTTCCAATCTCGCCAACTCACAGACATATTAACTTGAACATGAAATATCAATATTGAAAACCTATTGTTTTCTTAATTGCTTTGTCATGTTTCTTGTCTATTAGCTCATCTATTTCAAAGTGGCCAAGTGGTTAACACATCAGACTTCATTCAAACAAGAAACTTTACACTCATTGCTTAGTACAGATTTGAAAGTGTGTCTATAAGCTTAAAGCCTCCTGCAATCAAACTAAAATGAATTCTGTATAAACTAAACTTAATGTGAACTATTTACTAATTTTAGCAATGAAGAATAAAGACTGTTATCTTTTCTTTCTATATATCTCAGGTTATCAATCTATGGCTATCATAGCCCTTTGTTAATATTGTGACCCAATTTTTAACATGAATTAATTTGATAAGTGCTCAATCATTGGTGGATGAAAGCAATGTTATTCTTCTAACATAATATAACATAATAGCACATATATTTAAGATGAATATTTAAGATGAATAATGTTTCAATATTCTGTAAAAATGTTGTAAAATAATAAAACAATTTATCTTCACCCTACTGGAGTCATCCTCCTTTGAATTTTATTAATACAGAAATCTAAGAAAACTCATATACTTGTTGTAAATTAAAATTGCTTGTTGTTTTCTTTTTGCCTATAAAAAAAAGGCAAAGTCATTTTTGTATTTTATTTATAGGTAGTTGTAGAACTCAAATGTAATTTCTTAAAATCAATGATATTGATACAATCAACCAGCAGTTTGAAGCCTGAATTATTTGTACAAGCAAAATGGGAGGAGCCTCAACTTCAACACAGTTTATTTGGCAGTAAAGACAAGGTACTTGACTTGTTCAAACTATGAAACATTTGTAAAACTGGTTGTCAGTTATTCAAATGTGTGAACATTTGTCTTTTCAAAATTCTTAGGGTTTGTGAACATTTATGCATATAAAAAGTCTATTGAAAATATAAGCTTACTCCTCAAAACAAACACATGTAGTTATTTTAGCATAAATTTGGTAGTACTGAATGCACATTTTTGGATGGGAGGGGGGTGGGGCAAAACATGAAGTTAGTTATGCTGACTTACAAACAATATGATTTACACACAGGCATATTTTTTTTAGCTCATCTGTCACAAAGTGACAGGGTGAGCTTTTTGTGATCGCTTTTTCGTCTGTCGTCCGTCCGTTGTCCGTCTGTCCGACGTCCCTCCGTCCGTAAACTTTTGCTTTAAATGACATCTCGTCATAAACCACTGAGCCAATTTCATCCAAACTTCACAGGAATGTTCCTTTGGTGGTCACCTTTAAAAATTGTTCAAAGAATTTAATTCCATGCAGAACTCTGATTGCCATGGCAACCGAAAGAAAAATCTTTAAATATCTTCTTTTAAACAACCCTAAGAGCTAGAGCTTAGATATTTGGCATGAAACATCTTATAGTGAGTGTCTACCAAGTTTGTTCAAATAAAAGCCCTGGGGTCAAAATTGGCCCCGCCCCAGGGAGTCATTGATTTTCCCTATATGCATATAGTAAAAACTTAAAAAATCTTCTTTAAAGAACCCAAAGAGCTAGAGCTAAGATATTTGGCATGAAACATCTTCTAGTGAGTGTCTACCAAGTTTGTTCAAATAAAAGCCCTGGGGTCAAAATTGGCCCCGCCCCAGGTGGTCATTGATTTTCCCTATATGCATATAGTAAAAACTTAAAAAATCTTCTTTTAAAGAACCCAATTAGCTAAAGTTAAGATATTTAGCATTAAACATGTTCTAATGGGTGTCTACCAAATTTGTTCAAATAAAAGCCCTGGGGTCAAAATTGGCCCCGCCCCGGGGGTCATTGATTTTCCTTATATGTGTATGGCAAAAACTTAAAAATCTTTTTTGAAAAAACCCATATAGCTAGAGTTTAGATATTAAGCATGAAACATCTTCTAATCAGTGTCTACAAAGTTTGTTCAAATAAAAGCCCCGGGGTCAAAATTGGCCCTGCCCCGGGGGTCATTGATTTTCCTTTTTTGTGTATAGCAAAAACTTAAAAATCTTCTTTGAAAAAAACCAAACAGCTAGAGTTTAGATATTAAGAATGAAACATCTTCTAGTGAGTGCACATGTCTACAAACTTTGTTCAAATAAAAGCCCGGGGGTCAACACTGGCCCTGCCCCAGGGGTGTCATTGTTTTTAACTATATGTGTATAGTAAAAACTTAAAAAATCTTCTTTTAAAAAAACCAATGAGCTAGAACTTAGATGTTTAGCATGAAACATCTTCTTACGGGTGTCTACCAAGTCTGTTCAAATAAACAAATAAAAGCCCTTGGTAAAAAATTGGCCCGGGGGGGGGGGGGCTATATATAGGTGAGCGACCTCAGGGCCATCATGGCCCTCTTGTTTAGTTTTATTATTCATCATACGTCAACATGGAAAGTTTTAAAGACGATCATGGGATGGATGTTCAGGAGTGTAGATTGTAGTGAGCTTGTCATTTGTTAACTAATGATCTGTTGTGTTTGATAAAATCACTTAGTCATGCACATTGTATTTAACAATAAAACAAGTATACAAGTCACTTTAGACCAAAATATTTATTAATACAAGTATATTTTTATTCTTATTTTTTTCTTGGGTTTCAGGATAGTGAAGATCTAGACAAACTGATTCCATGGGAACCCAAGCTTATAGTAATGAATATAGATGGTGCATTTGTTCTGAATCGTAAGACATTTGACATCAGATTTCATGAACCTGGTTATAAATGTCCAGTAGTCATAGAACTGTGGCGCTTCAAAGGATTCTTCAAAGAGAATCTTGAGCTGGAACATTTTCCTGTGGATGTACAGGTATTATACACTTTATCTTACTTTTACCAAAGTTCTTGCTGGTTGTGAGGTGGTTGTAAAGTTAAACCTCTGGTCAAAAAATATTTCTGGTAGCCTTAACTTGACACTGTGTCTGTCCTTCTTATATTTATTATGTTGCATGGTGTGAAAACATGCAGCTTGATTGGAACTGGAATCTGGGACCTTCAAAATACCATTCTGCAGCTTTACCAATAAAACTATTAATAAAAATCTTGAATAGGGGTGATACCTCAAATTCACCAAAGAACACAATATATTACGAAAATTTCTGACCCAGTTTGATTGAGTCTGTTCCTAATGAAAAAGTGCAACATCGCTCTCGCCTTAGAGCACCACTTATGCACTATTCAATCTTCAACACTTACATGCTGGAATCACAGATCCCAAAGGACTAGAAACATTGATGTGAGCCTTTGTAAGTCTGTTGCAAATTTCAAGGGTTATAACAAATAGCACTATCAGGACTAAGGCCTCCCAATTACACGTTTAAACGGATTTGTTTCGATTTTCATTCATAAACGTTTACAATATTTTTTTACCGTTTAATCGAAATGACCATATTGTCTTACAAAATTTCTTAATCATTGCCTGTAATATAGGGTTAACATTTATTTCGTGTTATAAAGTCTGCAGAGTCCCTTGGAACCGTTGGAGCCCTCGCCCTACCGGGCTCGGGCACCAACAGTTCCTCGGGACTCTGCAGACATTATAACACTGAAAAACGTGCGTTGACGCTATTATAGCATAAAATTTTAAAATAGATGCATGATGACGATTTAATACAAAACACATACATTAAATCCTTGCGCTTGACGGTATTTATCCAATTCTACATGTTTTACTTATGCGTTTTATTTTTCTGGGGCCAACATCTTTGCAGAACCGAACGAAATTTCGAATTTTAATTGATTTAACAAAGCTTAACATCGGAGATTTATTAACTTAAGAAAAAATACACATTTAATTACTCTACCCAAGACAAAACATGACCCTCAAAAAATTTCTAGAATTATTTCTGATTGACGGTAGAAAAAAGATCAATGACATCAGAATCATTTTTTTTTCAAGCACACAAGTTTATAACATGGTTCGCACGGGCCTTGAAAAGTCCTTGAATTTGGTTTCAACCTTGAAAAGTCCTTGAATTCAGGGTTGCCTTGAAAAAAACACTAAAATTGTCCTTGAATTTCAGTAAACCTCCTTGAATTTCGGTAAAATGCCTTGAAAATCCAAAAGGGTATAAAACCTGTCGCTGTAAAGGTCAGGCAAATTTTCCGCTACAAATCGGACATGTGAACGAAGGCAGCCCGATCGAGTGCGCCGATTTGGATCTGTTTCAGTAGTGTTTAGCCAGCTTTACGGTTTTGGCACGGATTTTAACAAGCACTTGTGTATGACGTCATCGCAAATTGTGTACAAAATGTCAGCTTCCATTGCGAAGTAAAAAATGGGAAAATACACTAAGAAATGTACGTTTCAGCTCAAATGGCTTCAACAATACAGTTGGGTAAAACAAGTTATACAAGACCCACGAAAAGCACAATGTACCATGTGTATGAAAACCATCGATTTGTCGCAAATGGGAGAGAGTGCATTAACATCGCATGTGAGGGGTGCAAAGCACCTAAAAAATCTAGACATCAAGTCGTCATTGACGAAGTGTGGCCTTGCATTTGTCAGACAGGAAGGAACTATAAATGTCAAAACTGAAAATTGCAGTAGATCTGATTCAAATAATAACATTGTGCCATCCCAATCCACAACGGAAACTGTGCATGACATGACAATACCACCCCCACCTACTTCTAGTAATCATTGATTTGTGACTGAATCAAACATTCTAAGAAAGGGCTTCAAAGAAAAGAAACTGGAAGTTGAGGAAATTGGAAGAGAAATCCAAAAAAGAAAGGAAAAACTAGATAGAGTTGTGTGAATTTACTCAATCACCTATATGTTACAGTTTTGGTGTTCATATATTCTACTGACTGTGCTGATTTTCTAAATATAGTCACTGTTTTGCAATTCTAGTCATTTGAACCTTAAATTGAAATACACATGTTTTATTTACATGTTTTATATCACAGATATGGTTGTAAAAGTATAATTTTAAATAAGATCAATTGCAATAAAAATGTATATCGCAGATATGGTTGTAAAAGTATAATTTTAAATAAGATCAATCGGGAAAAAAATGCCTTGAAAATGACAATTTTACCTTGAAAAGTCCTTGAAAAGTCCTTGAATTTTGATTTGAGAATTTGGTATGAACCATGTATAAAAAAAATCAGGCACTAAACATTATTCTCTCAAAGAAATATAAAGAGCATTTATCAATATAAACATCAATAAAACAACATTTTCTAATATTCATTTTGTGTTATCTTGTTTTGTAAGTTACTCGGAGGGTTTGTTTACATTGACAAAGGTCGGTTTCTTAGAAAGGGCGACAACTAAGATTAGCGGCGATGTCTATACGCCGTATCTCCGGCACAGTTACTTCATGCTGCTCGCTGTTACTTATGCGATTGATGCCTTCGAATCAATAATTTCAATATAACAAAAGCGCATGACTCTTTCGCAAACAAGGCCAATTTAATCTCATTTTTTTGTTTGTTTACTGGGCCCTGTATGTATTGCGCATAGGTAAAACTGGGCTATAACAAGAGCGCGTGATTATGTTAAATCATGATTTTGGTCCCGTTATAGCATGGGCAAAAGAGGGAAAAATAGCCGATTTTATGCTATAATTACAGTTATAATGCCGAATAAATTTCTTGCTATGCGCAGCTGAAAAATGTTTGTGTTGTAAAATATCTGGACGAGGAGAAAGCGTGAAACTGTGAGCTTGAGGCAGTAGTTTTACTGTAAATTAGCTGGTTTTATTCTGGAATTATCCAATAAACTTTAAATTTTTCATAAAATGGGGAAATATAGCTTAAATTTATGGTAAAGGCAAAAGAATATTACTCCCTTAAGCCAAATAATTAATTAATATGTACCAAAATTTACTTGACAAAAATGTAATAAAACTTTTAAAAATGTAGCTGTTTACTTAGATTAATGTTTTTATTAATTTTTTAGATTAATGTTTTTATTTATTTTTTACTTAATTGAATAAGAATTCTTCTTTATTTCATAAGTTATTTACAAATGCCTTTTTTTAATTAAAAATCAGTATGAATAGAATGAATATTACTGACGTCTTTAAAAAATGACTAAATGCTTATAGACAGTAAGTACAGTTTGAGTTATAAAGTATTTGATAATGAAAATTGGAAATACAATTATTGATGAAAACAAAAAATAATATTTATATAATATTAAAACAACATGAACTTAATAAAGAACACGAAATAGCATACATATTTACGTGTACAGTACATAGATAGGAAAATAACATAACTATACTTTTTTTATATAATAAATGTAGAAAGTCACATACCTGGAATTATCCAATAAACACTATTTTACAGTTGAACATAACAACTTCCCCTGCTTTGATTACTTTGGTCCCCAAAGTTTGAAAGAAAAAAATATTCTGACTCATACGAGGGCTGTTCAAAAAGTTCGTGGACTGCGGCTCTACTGGTCACATCTTTTAATTTGCGTATATGATTTTACAAGAGACATATACGAAAATATGTCCTTATTTAACAGTGAAAAAATCAATACAATATGTTTACAAATAACAATTCTGTGACAGTTACAAATCACAAGGGGTGCACAATCCGGCGCACGCTGTTGACGAAACAAAATGACGTTAGTGACGTCGCAATATAAATGAAACATTTTACCAGCGACATTGTTTCTTTTTAGTGTTCAATATCTGCGGATCATATACCAAAACCATTTTTCTGTGTGTGATGATGACCCGAGATATAAAGTGGTTCATCTTTTCGCTCCATTCTCCGTATAAAGGTCCGAGTGCCGCATAATTTCCGCTCTTTATCGGGATTTTTGAGTAATTTCGACACTTAACGGACAGTGTTATTAAGTTTAATTCAATTGTTGATTTATAGTATCAATTTGAAACCGCCCTCGTCCGATCTTTAAACAATATGATTATCAATGATAAAGAAAAAACATTTATCAACTGACAATCATTTTATGCGGTAAATCTACTGAATACCGGTTTAAATAGCATTAATTATCAAACGGACCAGAGTAAATACACGTAATACAAAAATAACTACAATTATTTATTGTAAATACGCATATATCCTGGTGAATGAAATAACATATTATTTTAATTAAATTAAATTGTTTTGTCAGAATTGAATGCAAAGATCCGATGCAGAAATTAAATATGTCGGACATATCGCAAACCTTTCATACTGTCTGGACTTCTGTAGATCTTTTGCAATTGACGTTACAAACGTCCCAACAATTTGCCGCTAAAAATTCTCCGTCACCCTTTCTGTCTGTGAGCATGTATTTGCCGTATTTAAATCGCTTGCGCGACCTGAAACTAAGAGACCTGCTCGCCAACCCATTGTTATTAGTTAATTTAATCACCTAATAAAATTATGAAGGAGTATCCCACATTTATTGGTAAAAATTTCCGAAAGAGCAAATTTCTAGTTTTTAAACGGGCTTTATACTTCCAAACTAACCCGTCTGTCTACTACTGCTCAAAACCTGTTTGTTCAGCTATACAACGTCCAATCGACGTCAAATTTCAGATTTATGTCATTTACATACTATAAGATGATTACTTGTAATTTACTTCATAAAACAATCACTCAGTTTGTTTCAACATTTGTTTATATTTAAACATTATATGAAAATTTCGGCGTGCGCCGATGTTGCGTTGCCATGGTTATTAAAGTGCACATAACTCGTAAAGGAAACAAAAGTTTACAATAAAAGTAAATCTTACTTTTAGAAATAAAGACACTCTTTCGTTTCATATCCACTAAGGGTGTTTTTATGAACCAAGTAAAAAATGACAGCAAAAATCCACGAACTTTTTGAACATACCTCGTAGGTATATTTTGGCGTTTCAGAAAATTATGTAAATATAAAACAAAAATCGTTATTATGCAAAGAAGTTACAATTGATCTAAGAAAATTTTGGTTTGAAGTTGGATCTTATCAATTCTAGTGGTTTATTCCAAATTAAAAAACGGAAAATGGATGTTTACAACCCTCCACACAGCATTACCCTGCAAAAAATTGCTTGTGACATAATAAATTTTTGGTAAAAAATGGGGATACCATGCAGAAAATGTTTGCCGACTCAATTGTAATGAGCCCTGAACATTCTTTATTTGTACATGTATTAAAAAAAGAAAGTAAGTCTTCATTTGGCGACTCAAATGCATGGTGTATATAGTACTTAACAGTACCACCATTTAAACGGTATCGTTTCGGTCCTTAGCAATAGTGTAAACGGTAAAAATTGTAAATTTGGGGGCCTTTATCAGGACAAGACCAGTGTGTAAACAACTTTTGTTGTGAATACCAGGATCTGACAACATCAAATTTAAAATGTTAGATTATATATATTTTAGGCATTAACAATACCTTTCATTTCTGGATTCCTGTATCTGACAATATCTCTATCTAGCATTTTAAAATCTAGGATCTGACAGTTGTTTATTATGCATTCTACTTACCATTTCATATTTTGTCTTGAGTTCCAAGAGCTGTCATCATTTTCAATTTCATCATAAGTTTGATATTTTTCAGTATTTCAAGAACATAAGAACCTGTCTCATATCCTTTTGCAATTTTGCCCTTAATATTCTTATAAGACTTTGAATATTTAAATATTTCCGAATATTAAATTCATTATTTTAATGTCATTATTTTTGGGATTCAAGGATCTGACAATATCTATATCCACTGAAAGATCTGACAAGGAAGTTGACCTTATAGAAGATCAGACATCACTAAGTTCTATCAACACTAAAGCATTCATGGACCAGGAGTGGAGTCTATACAAACATATAGAAACATCAAGGGATTTCACAACTGTTGAATACTGCAGTTCTACTGTGCACCCAATTGTACATGCACAATGCAGAGTTGCTAGAAAGATGGGCTATTTTGTGTGGAATATAATCTTCATTATGGTAAGTTTGTGAGGAGAGAAAATGTAGGTTTTAGTGCTCATCTGTTCAGTTCAGTATTAGAAATAAAAGATTGCCTGTTTGCACAGCAAAGTTAAAAATTGGTTGGGCAAGTTGGTCATCCCTGGGCAAGTGTATTTCCCCCAACCCCCCACCCCCAAAAATAAAAAAATATCCATTCCTTTTTGTCTCTGCTGTCTTAGCCATTATCTTGATTCCCATGAAAATATTAAAATGCACACATTTGACCTGTCATTAAAACAGATGATGTCATATTATGTAAATATTCCTTTCTGACCAAATTCCAGGCTATTTGGACCAAAATACTAGATTCTAGGGTGTTTAGAAGGTTTTTTTCCAGATTTTGGCTGTGTGAACTAGTTTCTGGCCTCAGATGACCTATATTCAAACTTGAGCTAAAATCATCTAAACAACCTTTCTGACAAAATATCCAAGATAGTGAAACTGAAAATGTTTCCTTTTAGTGTTTTTCCATATTTGGGCTGTGGGATCTAATTTTGACCCCATGTGACCCATCTTCAGACTTTACCTAGAAATCCCCTAAACAACTTTCTGACCAGTTTCCAAGGTATATCATTTGGACTGGAATAGAAGCCTCTCAAATGCTAACAAGGTTTTTAGTATATTTTCTGTGTGACCATATGTTGACCCAAGGTGACTCATATTTAAACTTGACCAAGAAATCACCTTAATAATCTGAGACTGTCCGACCAATTTCCAGGATATTTTGACTAAAACGTTAGCCTCCAGAGTGTTTTAAAGCTTTTTATGCTCCCCGAAAAATTTCGGGGGAGCATATAGTCGGCGCCTTGTCCGTCTGTCCGTCCGTCTGTCCGTCCGTTGTCTTGTCCGGAGCATAACTTGAAAACCCATGGAGATAATTTGTTGAAACTTCATACACTGGTAGAGGGCATTGAGGGGGAGTGCAGTGTCAAAGAACCATAACTCTATTTTGCCCGGTTTTTGAATTATCTCCCCTTATAGAAAAATCTTGTCCGGGGCATAACTCTAAAACTATAAGAGATATCAACATGAAACTTTGTAGGTGAATAGATCTCAATGGGTAGATGTGCAGTGCATAAGAACAATAACTCTTTTTGTCCTAATTTTGGAGTTATTGCCCTTTGTTAATTTTAACACTTTGAACTTTGTCCGGAACATAACTCTAAAACTATAAGAGATATCAAGATGAAACATTGTAGGTAGATAGATCTCATTGAGTAGAGGTGCAGTGCAAAAGAACCATAACTCTGTTAAGCCTCATTTTTGAATTATCTCCCCTTATAGAAAAATCTTGTCCGGGGCATAACTCTAAAACTATAAGAGATATCAACATGAAACTTTGTAGGTGAATAGATCTCAATGGGTAGATGTGCAGTGCATAAGAACAATAACTCTTTTTGTCCTAATTTTGGAGTTATTGCCCTTTGTTAATTTTAACACTTTGAACTTTGTCCGGAACATAACTCTAAAACTATAAGAGATATCAAGATGAAATATTGTAGGTAGATAGATCTCATTGAGTAGAGGTGCAGTGCAAAAGAACCATAACTCTGTTAAGCCTCATTTTTTAATAATCTCCCCTTTTAGAAAAATCTTGTCCAGGACATAGCTGTAAAACTATAAGAGATATCAACATGAAACTTTGTAGGTGAATAGATCTCAATGGGTAGATGTGCAGTGCATAAGAACAATAACTCTTTTTGTCCTAATTTTGGAGTTATTGCCCTTTGTTAATTTTAACACTTTGAACTTTGTCCGGAACATAACTCTAAAACTATAAGAGATATCAAGATGAAACATTGTAGGTAGATAGATCTCATTGAGTAGAGGTGCAGTGCAAAAGAACCATAACTCTGTTAAGCCTCATTTTTTAATAATCTCCCCTTTTAGAAAAATCTTGTCCAGGACATAGCTGTAAAACTATAAGAGATATCAACATGAAACTTTGTAGGTAGATATATCTCAATGGGTAGATGTGCAGTGCACAAGAATCATAACTCTGCCTTGCCTAATTCTGGAGTTATTGCCCTTTGTTTATTTTTACTTTTTGAAGTTGTCCGGGACATAACTCGGAAATCATAAGAGATATCATCAAGAAACTTTGTAGGTTGATAGATCACATTGATTAGAAGTGCAGTGCAAAGAACAGTAACTCTGCCTTGCCTAATCTTGGACTTTAAACTTTTTCCATGGACATAACTCTAAAACTTCATGAGGTGTACTTTCCTGTGTCCAAAACCTATTCGGGGAGCATCACCCGGCTCAAACCGGGCTCTTGTTTTTTTTGGGCTTTCTGACCTAATTTTTTACCCCAGATGTATCGACCTAGGGTTATAAATCATTTGAACAATTTCCAGGATAGTTAGGCTGAAAATTTTACCTCTTAAGTGTTTGCAAGGTTTCTTCCATATTTGGACTCTATGACCTAGTTTTTTACCCAGCTGACCCAAATTCAAACTTGACCTAAAAATCATCTAAACGACCTTCCTGATCAATTTCCAGGATATTTTGAATGGAGTAGTAGCCTCTAGAGTGTTAAAAAAGTTGTTTTTTTATATTTGGACTTTGATGGCCTATATTGTGAACTTGAAGTAAAATCTTTCTGACCAATTTCAGGATAGTTAGGCTGAAAATTGTAACCCCTAGAGTGTTAACAATTTTTTTTTTTCATATTTGCGCTATGTGACCTAGTTTTTGACCCCAAATTTAAACTTAATCATGAAACCATCTGGACAACCTTTCTGACAAATTTTCAGGATAATTGGGCTGCAAATGCTTCTTCTAGAGTGTTAACTTCAACGACCCTGAAAGCTCACAATTTTGATATCAGAAAGCTCTGGAACATGTGTTCTGCACATTGTCTCATTATAAGTTTTATATTTCTGCCAAAAAGTTTAAAAGTTTCTTTCTTTAAAAGTTCAGTCTCTTTTGTACCAATAGGTACAAAAGAGGCAGAACGGATATGAAATTATGAAATTTAAACAAAATTATCTTGAGTTTGATCTGAGGAAGGTGAAACCTGTGCTGCTCTGTGCATCATCTAATTATGGAAGTTGTTTCAATTTGCTTCAACCAGTTCAAAAGATACAGACCCGCATAACAATATACACTAAAAAAATTTCAGGTCTAGCCTGCGCTTGACTGTGGCTACACAACTCATCTATGGGAAATTAACTGATCATTTTGTTTATAGCATAATGCACTGGTTAATGCTATTTGTATTTGTCACACATAAGAGACTCAGAGACTCAGGATTATTTCAACATACTGGTAATTAAAAGCAGATTTAAGTACGATTTGACATTTTCCAAAGAATTTAATTTTGCTGACCGAGAATGAGTACTCAGTACATGACATATTTTAGAATCAGTTATGTCTGAATACGGTGATTTGTTCAGGGGCGTAGGCATACTCCCTGGTAAAAGCAAATTACACCTTCCTGATGACGCTATTCCAGTAATTACACCTGCGAGACGTGTACTGAATCATTCAAATCAAGACATAAGCTAGAGCCAATGGTCAGAGAGGAAATTATAACGCCAGTGAGGGAACCTACAGACTGGGTAAACCTCATTGTAGTGGTAGAAAAACCAAACGGAAAATCACGTATTTGCCTAAACCCAAAACAGCCTGATGACGCAATACATAGACTTCATTATGCACATCAACACTTGACGAACTTAACAGCAAAGCTTCCTGGAGCTAAATTCTTTAGTATGTTACATCTTACTCATGCATATTGGTCTGTACAACTAGACAAACAATCGTCTAAAGTTACAACATTTGCCACTCCTTTCGGTAGATACAGGTACTTATAAGGTTACCATACGGTATATCATCATCAAATGATATATTTTGTCAAAAGGTCAATCAGATATTTGAAGGAATAAATGGAACACTCTTGTTGATGATAAATATTTTGTCAAAAGGTCAATCAGATATTTGAAGGAATAAATGGAATACACCCAGAGTGTTTTAAAGCTTTTTATGCTCCCCGAAAAATTTCGGGGGAGCATATAGTCGGCGCCTTGTCCTGTCTGTTTATTTGTTTATTCTTGGAAGATGTCGAGTGTTGCCCCTATCCGGCTCTTGTTTGTTATACTACTAAACCAGACATGAAGTGGCCAGTAAGAAACATTTTTAGAGTGCAGGTGTGTCATCTCAACTGCTGATACTTCATATTGTGGCACACAACTTAAAAACGTTTCAAACTAATTCTGATGTATAATTCATCTGCACCCACAATGAACTTTGCTTCAATAAATTTCATAAAGAAAAAAAATTCTCATTAATGTAGTAGAAGAAAGTGCCAGTCCTATTGGTATATGTTCTAAATTCAAATAAAGAAGTTATTAAAGCTACATTCACATCGGTTGTCACTGTATTTATTTGCTGTCTTGGTATATTTGCCCTTAAAGAACTGTTTATTCTTAGTATTCAATTACTGTTGTATATCTGAAATGTTTCTCAAAAGTTGATCAAAAATATTCCTCTACTTGTCCGGCATTATGTGGCTCTATAGCAAGCCTGTTTAAATTCAATAAATAATATGTGTTGTGATCTTGCGTATATTTCAGTTATTGATCATCAGTCTAACTTTTGCTGCATACACTATAGAGCACGCAAATGCTGATAGAATAAATGTGACTATTACCCTATTCCTGACTGCAGTTGCCTTTAAATTAGTTGTGAAACAAAGCTTACCAACTATATCATACCTTACATACCTGGTAAGTAGGTTGCTTTTACATCTCAAATTGTTTTACTTTTGTTTGCTTTCAGTTGTTGATTATCAGTTTGACGTTTGCTGCATTCACGATTGACTTCAACAGTGCCGATAGACTCACTGTCACCATCACTCTGTTTCTCACTGCTGTAGCATTTAAGTTGGTTGTCAAACAAAGCCTGCCTACCATCTCATACCTTACTTATCTTGTAAGTGATTTTTAGTCAAACTACATGTAATGTTAAATATCATCTCCTCTACTTAGTAAAAAAATAAAATTCTCCTTAATAGCCCTTAATTGAAATTACTTCTTTTTCCTGTAAATCTTCTCTCTTACTTCACCTGTTTAAAGGTTTGAATGTATTTGAAATATTCAATCTTATTTCTCTGAAAAACAAGGGTTATATCTTCACAAGGTAAGAAAAATGTGCTGACTGAATGTATGTTTTGGTTTTATTACAGGATGTATATGTGATAGCAGCCCTGATATTCCTTGGTCTACAAGCTGCCCAGAATGCTACAATGAATGCTCTTGGTCATTTTCTGATAAAAGAGCAGGTACAATACTATGACAAATGGTCCATGGTTCTAATGGCAATTGTTCTCATTGTCTTCCATATATTATTTGCACTGTTCATCTACCGAACTGTAAGTATAACAGGTTTCACTGTATATAGATATAACTTTTGTGTTAACAATTTTTCTCAACTTCTGATTACCATGTGTTGTACTTTGAAAATTGAGTCACTATTTACAGACCTTTCTAAAAGGGATAGATACCAGGGCTTTTTTATAAATAAGTCATACCTGTGAAAAATGATAAGGAGAGTCCTTCAAAACATTCACCATTGACCTCTGCAGGACTTTTCCAGCCTCAGAATTCATTTCGAAAAAGCATTTTTGAACTGTTCTTTGGGTGTGTTGTTTATACACTGGTAGAGAGTCCTTCGGATGACACTACAATTTTCTCGCCGTTGACCGTGAAGGCAATATTTGATGTATGGATATAAGTTAACCAAAAGTCACAAGGAGAGAGGACAGGACTATAAACATATGACACATTTAGGCCTGATATGTCACTTATCTCCTCCACAGTATATCTTTCATCTCCATCAACTATGGCTTTGACATTGGTGATGTCTTTTTCAGAGGTAGAAGAAATTGGCTGCCCATGGTGGGGATCATCCTTTATCATTAGTTGTAACCTTCCTTAAACATTGACAACCACCTGGCAATTGTACAATATGGAGGGGCATTTTCTCCATAAACTAAATCTAGACCTGTTTTATTTCTGACCCAATAACACAGGAATTTTGCAATGAGCTCTAAATGACCTGCTCAAATTTTATTGCATGTTCAAACCATGCTTTGACTTTATATCATGCAATTTTTTTAGTTGACACATTTGTGAATTGTCTGTTTGAACCTTTTAATTATCATCTAAAAATGTCATTATTTAATAAAGTACAAATAGAAGTCTTAGCAGAAATATCAATGAATCTTGGAATCATATATTTTCAAGATACAGGGCTTTTTTTCCTTCTATAGCAGGGGCTGTTTATAGGGCTGCTTCCCCAAAGAAAGATTCTTTAAAATCATACAGTTTTTTCCCAAAATTGAATTAACATTTTTTTTTCTTCCTCTTTTGAAAAAAATACCTTGTAATTTTTCCCAAAAGCTAAGGGCAGGCTTGGCTGCTTAATTTTTTGAGCTTCTTTTCCCCTTCAGGAGGCCACAGGTTGTTATGAAATTTGAAAAAAAGTCACTGAGATATAAATGAATATGCATCTGATACTTAATTGTGTTCTTCCTAAAATTTTAAAATTACATATTTTAACATCCATATGTATATTACCTTTATTTTCAGGCATCAAAGCGAAGAAGAATTATGGAAGAAAAGGACAGAATTTACCTTGTATGTACCTTAAAGTTTAAAAACAATACAAATTTTAAGTAAAAAATTAATGTCAAAATTTTATCAAGGATTTTACTAAAAGGATGATTATAGTGGAAATACAATTTTTTGCCATTCATATATACATTTGACAAATGTTCAAAATACTCCTAAAATTGCACGGTATTTTGTACATGAAGTTAAATTGTCTTTATTGTTTCTTTTTTAAATATTGACAGATTTTTAACACCTGCTAAACAGAATTTTATAGAATATCTATGGGGTGAAAAAAATGTGCACTGACAGACTTGGATTTGAACCAGGGACCCTTGGAATACTGTTCTGCGGCTTTTCAGCTTTACTGGCTGAGCTATTTTACTGCTTACACATCTTTTTCCTAAACAGTGAACAGTTTTGAACTGTGACATACTTCCTTGCTATATTGAAATTCATTTTTTCGAATTTCTTAGGCTTATTAATCAAAGTTTGAGTTTTATGCAGTAACAACCTCATGTTGGGCGCCAAATGTCACAGGATGAGAAAAATGTGCAGTTTCAACTGTTTGACAGGGACTTGAACCCGTGACCCTTGGAACAACATTCCATGGCTTTACCATCTGAGCTATTTGGCCTGTTACAATTTTTTTTTTGTAATTGAGCTTTTTTTTTATATATAAAACACTAGGGGATCCTGTGCAATTGTTACTTAAGTGGACTGTGAATGTTTACTTACATTGGGTATTTTGATGAATGGAAAAATTGTCTAATACTGATTCATTTCATCATCAGGCAGGTGTCTAGATGCTCACTGCAACACACAATTTATGAAATTTTCTGATCTTATTTAAAGGGGCTCATCTTTCAATATGAGTGTAGCTAAATACTAATACTAGTATAACTTAAATGTTACTGCTTTGTAATGACGTTGTCCAAAAATAGAACAGATTGTCACAGGTTTTCTTCAGAAAAAAATATTGTCATAAAACACCAAATTTTTAAGTTTTTATGAATTACACATTTCCGGCAGCGGCGTCCCCTTAAGCTTGTCCGGAGCATAAGCCAGTCATTATAAGTCGGATTGACTTCAAACTTGCATGCATGCTTCTTATAATGACCATAAGTGCAGTGCATAAGAACTGGTACTCTGCACTTCTTAATTTTTAGTTATTGCCCTTTGTTAATTTTCATACTTTATTTTTGTCTGGGCCATTTCTCCTAATGTATAAAAGCTATGTACATGAAACTTCATACAATGAGATATCTCATTAAGAAGAAGTGCAGTGCACAAGAGCCGGTACTCTGCATTTCTTATTTTTTGAGTTATTGCCCTTTGTTAATTTTCATAATTTATTTTTGTCCAGGCCATTTCTCCTGAAGTATAAAAGCTATGGACATGAAACTTCATAGGATGAAAGATCTCATTAAGAAAAAGTGCAGTGCACAAGAGCCGGTACTCTGCATTTCTTATTTTTTGAGTTATTGCCCTTTGTTAATTTTCATACTTTATTTTTGTCCAGGCCATTTCTCTTAAAGTGTAAAAGCTATGGACATGAACCTATATAGGATGATAGATCTCATTAAGAAAAAGTGCAGTGCACAAGAAATGGTACTCTGCATTTCTTATTTTTTGAGTTATTGCCCTTTGTTAATTTTCATACTTTATTTTTGTCCAGGCCATTTTTCCTAAAATATAAAAGCTATAGATATGAAACTTCATAGGATGATAGATCTCATTAAGAAGAAGTACAGTGCACAAGAACTGGTACTCTGCATTTCTTATTTTTTGAGTTATTGCACTTTGTTAATTTTCATACTTTATTTTTGTCCATGCCATTTCTCCTAAAGTATAAAAGCTATGGTCTTTAAACTTTATAGGATGATAGGCTTCATTAAGAAAAAGTGCAGTGTACAAGAAATGGTACTCTGCATTTCTTATTTTTGAGTTATTTTCCTTTATTAATTTTCATACTTTATTTTTAGTCCAGGCCATTTCTCATAAATTATAAAAGCTATGGACAAGAAACTTCATAGGATGATAGATCTTATTGATAAGAAGTGCAGTGCACAGAAACTGCTGCTCTGCTCTTCTTATTTTTTGAGTTATTGCCCTTTGTTAATTTTCATATTTCATTTTTGTTCTGGCCATTTCTCCTAAACTATATTGTTCACAAGGTGACACATCAGACTCGCGGAGTTCTAGTTTTTATTTACCCTAAATCAAGCATTGTATCATATTGTGTTCACAAATTCATTTATTGGAATGTTCTAGCTTTTTGTCAAAATGAATGTTAAACAAAATAGGCCGATTGTGAAGATGATTTGTAAACTTGAGTCTGAAGAATTTATAATAGCTGCTTATTTATATCAAAAGCTTTGATCATTTTATGGTCATAGATTAGCATTCTGGTATGGTCTTGTAAAGGCATTCTTTAATTGTATCTGTTTAGAATTTACTGAATTTTATTTTTCAGGGAAAGAGAGAGTTTCTAGAGAGATATGGTACCCTGCCACCAAGATATGAGAGCTGTTACAACGATTCTAGTGATGACTCAATCATTCCAGGGAGGAAAATGAAAGTAGTTCTGCCAAGATAAAAAATTTCAGCATCTAAAATTGCAATATGAATATTTATTTTAGCTCATCATATTCATCACATACCATTTTGTATTTTTTCTAAACAGTATAATCAAAACTTATATAATTGTTTATATATAGTTGTTGAACATACTCTTTTCAAACTTTTTATTTTAAAGATTTTTACATTGCAGTTGAATTTTAGGTCACATGGGGACTAAGTGCTTAAATTTGGCCAAATCTTAAATCATGGTCACAATGTGTCCAAAACAAGTTTGATGTTTGTTGAAAATTTATTTTTTTACTAAATTGTGCAAATAAATTTTTATCTATTCTTGATTAAACATTGTTAACAAATTTAAATCAAATTGAAGATGTCACATCAACAGTGCAAAACAAGTTCACTTCATACTTAAGAGATAAAATATTATTTAAACTGAAATGATAAAATATGTATGGAATTTTTACCTTGTTCAAGAAAAAAAAGTTTTTACCTGTTGTCTGATCATTATATGCAAGAAAATTTTTATTTTATTTAAACCTGCCAGAAATTTTTTTGTTAAACCTAATGTTTTGATTATCAGTATTTGTTTTTATCCAATAGCCTGTTTCTGCATTATATATGGAAATTATGCACAGCAAAATCATATGATATTGGGCAAACCACAGGTGGGACTGGAACCACAGGTGTCTGGATTGCCGGTACAGTATGCTAACCACTTCACCACAGCAACTGTGTGTTTTCTTATGCTAATTGTAGTAATTAACCTTTACTCACTGGCAAATTACTAAAACCATCTTTTACTTCTGTTGCTTTTTTAGTAAAAATATCATGATTTAATATTTTGTATGGAAGTCAAATTTATTTGCATTGTTTATATTTATTTGCATTGTAGCTTGAATATTCGCAGAATAATCGAGCTAGTGCAGTCACCCATTTGTCGGCGTCGGCATCCCTGTGGTTAAGTTTTTGCATGTAAGCTGGTATCTCCATAACAAATGAAGGGAATGGATTGAAACTTCACACACATGTTCTCTGTGATTATCTAACGTGATTGGCACAAGTGCCATAACTCTGATTGCCTTTTTGCATAATAATGCCCTTTTTTTGACTTACAAATTCTTGGTTAAGTTTTTGCATGTAAGCTGCTATCTTCAAAACAACTGAAAGAAATGGATTGAAACTTCACACACTTGTTGTCTGTGATTATCTTACATGATTATCACAAGTCCCATAACTCTGTTTTGTTTTTTTGCATAATTATTCCCCATTTTTGTCTTACAAATTCTTGGTTAAGTTTTTGCTTGTAAGCAAGTATCTCCATAACTACTGGAGGGAATGGATTGAAACTTCACACACTTGTTCTCTGTGATTATCTAACATGATTAGCACAAGTCCCATAGCTCTGATTAGCTTATTTGCATAATTATGCCCCATTTTCAACTTAAAAATTCTTGGTTAAGTTTTTAGCTCAACTATTCGATAAGAATAAGTAGAGCTATTGTAGTCACCCGAGCGTGGATTAAAACTTTTACACACTTGTTTTAAATGATTATATTATATGATTGGCACAAGTCCCATAACTCTGATTTGCTTTTTTGCATAATTATGCCCCATTTTTACTTAGAAATTCTTGGTTAAGTTTTTGTGAGTAAGCAAGTATCTCCATAACTATTGAAAGAAATGGATTGAAACTTCACACACTTGTTGTCTGTGATTATCTTACATGATTATCACAAGTCCCATAACTCTGATTTGATTTTTTCTTGCATAATTATGCCCCTTTTTCGGCTTAGAAATTCTAGGTAAAGTTTTTGCTGGTAAGCTGGTATCTCCATAACTACTGAAGGGTTTGTGCCTTTTTTGGAACAATTTTATGCATTCATTATAATAAAGCAGTGATTAATTCAATTAAACATCTTAATAACAAGCCTTTGTGCCTTTTCGGACAATTTTATGTATTCATATATTTAGCATTATTATACTCAATGAAACACCCTTGTGACAACTATTTTGAATAGTCGAGTGTTACTGTCCTCTGACAGTTCTTGTTTGACAGATAATTTCACATGCAGTGTGACACCTTCAGATGATTAGCATCTATAATGCTTTAAAACCATTATTCAAACATTATAAAACTTATATTGCCGTTTCTAAATATTGAAAATTTTTTTATTCATTTCTGAGACATAATGTACCTTTAAAGTTAGTTAATCTAGTCATATATGCAGTATGAATTATCTTCTCTGACTGCTCACCTGAGTACAACATGTTCAAGGTGAGCTGATTGTGATTTCCCTGTGTCTGTTGTCCAGCAGATTTTGATGAAACTTTACAGAAATACTAAATATTAAGTGATCTTTGTAAAATGATTTCAGTTTCCTAAATCAGATGACCACCAAAGCCCAAAAATAGAATTAGGCCTTAAACAACATACCTTCCACAATGATGCACAAAACAATAATTAAATTATTACAGTTTGCTGAACCAGATGGCTTCCTGGGAGATAAATATGCAAAAATGACATAAACCTTTATAACAAAATAGGAACTGCCTAATAATGAAATCTTTTCCATGTAAACCGTATATCAGAAGTTGGGTAATTAAGGGCTGTCATGGCCCTCTTATTAGTTCAATATTAGCTCAACAGCTAATTAACAACTTACAGTTGCCTAGTTCTAAGTTTTTGGTAAAAAGTGTAGCCGTAACTCTAAACAAAATTGATGATTTAGAACTTCTGTTCTACAGCAAAAATGAAAAAATTAATATATAAAAAATCCTATATAAATAAAAAATTATAAATAGTTTTAAAGAAAGACTTTTTATAATTTATCGTTCAATATTGCTTTGTAAATAATGAGCTCAAAATGAAAATTGATATCTATTTTCTAAACAAGAAATATATGAATATGTATATAGATGTATATATATTAAATCTTAAAGCTGCATGCCTCCAAATGAGCCAAAATATTTCAAGAAAATCAAACTTGAGAAAAAAGTACAGAGATTTTAAGAATAGTAAAAAGATTTAATAGAAAGGGTATTATTTGCGTGTTATGTTCAATTTGCAGTAATTTTCACCATATTTTCTACTGCATTACTAATGCAGTAAGTGATATTTTTGCATATTTTGACATCTTTTTGGTAATTTACATTGGTTGTGAGTGTTATTTGCCATGTGTAAATTGATTTCTTTGTTCACTTGACAATATTTTACTTGGTAATACATTTCAGAATTTTCATGAAAATTAGCATGAATCTGGAGTCGTGCTACTTTAAAATGATAGATATACCTTTCTTCGGATTATTTTAAAACTAAATATATATTGTTATCTGTGTGTATTTAGCAGGTACTTAAATGATATTGTGATAAAAAAATCTGCTTCTTTTTTTTTGTTATTGATTTTTTGACTAGTTTAGTTGATAAACATGGCAGAGAATGTGTATAATAACTAGCTTACTGTGATGAGAAATGTTTTATATGAAAATTTTTACAATATTGATATTGAGATGTTATTGCATGACAAAAGAAATGTTTCAAAGTTCAGGTTATTTTACCTTTTGTATGTAAAAATTATTATGTTGTTTGTCTGTTAATAATTTAATCATATAAGTTGCTATTAAAAATATAATAAAGAAAAACAGACTGTCGCTTCATTAACATTTTTTAGATTGTATATTTATTAAACTGGTTGTGAAGTGACAGTACCTCCTAATTTCAACACTGATTGGCAGTTTGAACCAAGTACTTGTATCTTATGCTTTACAATTGGATAAAAAAAATTATCACCCTATTTCCACATTGTTTTTCATGATGTCCAGGACTTTCTCTCAGTTTTGGGAACAGTACCTGAACAAGAGGAAATTTTCATGTTGTTTTCCATTGTAAGTGGAATTTCAAGCCATTTAGGATTTAGAACATATCTCTATTTCAAGTTCACTTTGGATTGCGCTTTGCACTCTTGAAATTATTTGAAAATTCACAAATTATTATACCCCTACCAAATATTTTAACTTGGCACTTCAAAGCAGTATCACAATACAACTGTCTTTGTCAAGTTTCATAACTCTTGATAGGTAGTTTGACAGAATTATGCCCCTTTTTTAACTTGGTAAATATCCAAAAATGTACCAAAAAGGCTAATGCTTTAATGAATGAACTTCAAACTTGGACACAACAATCCTTTGGAATATTCCTTCAAAATGACCAGACTGACCTTGACCTTGACTAAGTTGAGTCATAAATGACTGACCTCCAAGGTCAAGATATTTTGATTTTTGCTATTTTTTGCCATAACTGGCTTGAAATGTGTTATTTCAAATGAATTGTCTTCATATTTAGACAGAACATTCTTAAATACGGTAGCTAGGACAAGACATTTTTGAAGATCAAACTAAATTTGACATTCACTTTTTAATGACCTTGACCTTGAAGTTATACTTTTTTCACTTGTTTTTAGCTCGACTATACAAAGGATATAGAGAGCTGTCCTACTCTCCCTGGCCTCCGCATCCAGATTTCAGATTAAAGTTTTGGTGCAGTAAAATATTTTTCTGTATAACTTTTTAATTTCTTAAAGTATCAACTTCAAATATATGTTCCTTATCACCAACCACAACTTACCGTATGTGACAAGGTCTATATATCTAGCACCAATATTTTCAGATTATCTCCACTTGATCTTAGAATTTTCCTTAAAAAATATTATTTTTTACAGTTACTTCATTATTTCTTAAGGGATCAACTTCATACTTCAAATATATGTTCCTTATCATCAACCACTTGTAATGTGACAAGGTTCATAACTCTAGCACCAATATCGCAAGAATTATCTGCCCATAAACTTAGATTTTTTTTATTTAAAAACGTTTTTTTTACTATAACTTTAGTTTTAAAGGTATCTACCTCAAACTTCAAATACTTATCTCTAATTTCCTCAATTACATCTTATGTGACAAGGTTCATAACTCTTGAAGCAATAGTTTCAGATATATCTTTTCTTTAAGAAATATTATAACTTCTTTACTTTTTAAGGTTTCTACTTCAAACTGCAAATATATATTTCTTATCATCACACACAGTACAGACCAGAATATCTAGCTTGAGGGTTACTGTTTACAGCAGTAACGAGGCTCTTCCGAGTTTCCGCTAAATGGTTACCTGAGAGCTAGATATCCCCGCATGTACCGACAGCCGGTATTTGGTTCTTTTTCTTGCATATCAATTATTTTTGGAACAGAAATTACAGAAACTGATAATCTCATTACGCACTTTTTTCTTATAGTGGTGAATGACCTTACAAACTTCATTCATTTTCAACGTTAAAATGACATTGTCATAAAAGGTGTGCGGGCAATGATGTCATCTAAAGCACGCGAGTTGCCTTACATGAGGGGTGTAAGACAGGGTTTTCTAGCACCGGTGTAAACAGTAGATAATCCTGTCTGACATGCAAGAATTATATTTCTGGTCCTTGAAGATTGTTCATCAGCACATTATTGTTGTGTTTGTGGTAGTCTTTTTGTTTTTAGCTCACCTGACTAGAAAGTGGTGATGGGGCTCTGTCCGTCGTGTGTTGTGTGTTGTCAACACTCTAGCAGTCACAGTTTTGATTGGATCATAATAAAACTTTGTCAGAATGTTTGTCTTAATAAAATACAGGCCAATTACGAATATGGATCATCTCCGGTCAAAAACTAGGTCACAGGAGCTTAAAATAGAAAAAGCTTTTTGATCCAAATATCCTGGAAATTGGTCGAGAAGGTTGTTTGGATGATTCCAAGGTCAAATTCAAATACAATGAATGGGTCATTCCTAGTCAAAAACTAAAAATAGAAAAATCTTATTAACACTAGTGGCTGCAGTTTTGATTCAAATATTCTAGAAATTTGTCAGGAAGATTGTTTTGATAACATCTGGGTAAAATTAAAATATGGGTCATCTCCGTTCAAAAACTAGGTCACAGGAGCTAAAAATAGAAAAACCTTGTAAACACTCTAGAGGCTGCAGTTTTGATTCAAATGTCCTGGAAATTGGTCAGAAAGGTTGTTTTGATATCTAGGTCAAGTTCAAATATGGGTCAACTTGAGTCAAAAACTAGGTTACAGGAGCTAAAAATAGAAAAACCTTGTTGTCCCCCGGCTTTTCGAAGAAAAAAGGGGGATATAGAAATAGGCTCCGCCCGTCTGTCCGTCCGTCACACTTTCGTGTCCGATCCATAACTTTGTCATTTATCAAAGGAATCTGAAATAACTTGGCACAAATGTATGTTATAATAAGACCATGTGTCATGCGCAACAACCCGACCCCTACCTTCAGGGTCAAGGTCACACTTGCTCATTCAAGGTCAACATTGTCTATTTTAGGGTATATGTCGTGTCCGTTCCATAACTTCCTTATCTTTGAAGGGATTTTGTAAATACTTGCCACAATTGTTCACAATAATGTGATAATGTGTCATGAGCAACAACCGGTCACCTACCTCCAAGGTCAAGGTCACACTTCGAGTTCAAAGATTTACATAGTCTGTTACAGGGTATATTTTGTGTCCGGTCCATAACTTTTCCGTAGATCAAAGGATTTTGTAAATATTTGCCACAAATAGTCACTACAATAAGACAATGTGTCATGCGCAACACCTGCATCCCTACCTCCAAGTTCAAGGTCACACTTAGAGGTCAAAAAGTAACATAGTTTGCTTTAGGGTATATTTTGTGTCCGATCTAGAACTTCTTCGGGATTTTGGAATAACTAGGCACAAATAGTCACAATGATAAGATGATATGTCAGGCACAAAACATGGGTCCCTACTTCCAAGGTCACACTTAGAGGTCAAAGATTAACATAGTCTGTTAAAGGGTATATTTTATGTCCGATCTATGACTTCTTCATAGTTCAAGGGATTTTGAAAAAAGTAACAATGATAAGACAATATGTCATGCTTAACACCTGCACCCCTACCTCCAGGGTCAAGGTCACACTTAGAGGTCAAAGTTTAACATAATAGATTTTTAAATTCCTTGTTTCATTTTTATTTCTTTAATAAATTTATTGTTGCATTTGCAAATATAGCATTGATCATAATCTTGGACTGAAAGCCCTGAGATCCATACCTCAATCTTTTGAAATTACACATTTTTATGCTTCATATAAAACTTCCCCGAGGCGTAGCTGCAGTTTTCAAATATCCTGGAAATTGATCAGGAAGATTGTTTTAATAATATCTAGGTCAAGTTAAAGTATGGGTAATCTCTGGTCAAAAACTAGGTCACAGGAGCTAAAAATAGAAAAAGCTTGTTAACACTCTAGAGGCTGCAGTTTTGATCCAACTGTCCTGGAAAATGGTCAGAAAGGTTGTTTTAAAGATTTCTAGGTCAGGTTCAAATATGGGTCAACTCCAGTCAAAAACTAGGTCACAGGAGCTAAAAATAGAAAAACCTTGTTAACACTCTAGTGGCAGCAGGTTTGATTCAAATATCCTGGAAATTCATCAGGAAGATTGTTTTAATAATATCTAGGTCAAGTTAAAGGATGGGTCATGTCCGGTCAAAAACAAGGTCACAGGAGCTAAAAAATAGTTAGCTTGTTAACACTCTAATGGCTGCAGTTTTGATCCAAATGTCCTGGAAATTGGTCAGAAAGGTTGTTTTGATGATTTATAGGTCAAATTTAAATATGGATCATTTCTGGTCAAAAACAAGATCACAGAAAGCTAAAAAATAGAAAAATCTTGTTATCTCACTAGTGGCTGCAGTTTTGATTCAAATATTCTAGAAATTTGTCAGGAAGGTTGTTTTCATAATATCTAGGTCAAGTTCAAATATGGGTCAACTCCAGTCAAGAACTAGGTCACAGGAGCTAAAAATAGAAAAACTTTGTTTACACTTTTGTGGCTGCAGTTTTCATTCAAATATCCTTTAAATTGATCAGGAAGGTTGTTTGGATAATCTCTAGGTCAAATTTCGAAAACTAGGTCACAGGAGCTGTAGTGGCTGCAGATTTGATCCAAATATTCTGGAAATTTGTCACGAAGGTTGTTTTGATGATATCTAGATCAAGTTTGAATATGGGTCATCTCTGATTAAAAACTAGGTCACAGGAGCTAAAAAAAAAAAATTTAACACTAGTGGCTACTGTTTTGATCAAAATATCTGAAAATTTGTTTTGATGATTTCTAGGTAAAGTTCGAATATGGTTCACATAGGGTCAAAAACTAGATCACATTGCCCAAATATGGAAAAACCTTGTTAATACTCTAATTGAAACATTTTTGACTCAATTGTCATCAAACTTGGTCAGGATGCTTATCTAGTTAATTGCTTGGAGGAGTTCGAACATGGGTCTTCTCTGATGTAAAACTATGTCACAGGAGCTAAAAAATAGAAAAATCTTGTGAACTTTCTAGTGGCTACTGTTGTTATTGTGTCGCCTTGAAAAGGTGACATATAGGGGTTACTTTTGTCGGCGGTGTCGGCGGCGGCGTCTGTGTCGGCGTCGTTGTCGGCGTCGTTGTCGGCGTCCCCTAAAGCTTGTCCGGAGCATAACTCAGTCACTATAAGTCTGATTGACTTCAAACTTGGTATGCATGCTTCTTTCAATAACTCGAAGTGCAGTGCACAAGGACCGGTACTCTGCATTTCTTAA